CGAGCGTGTCTACGGAAGCAGGCTCGAAGTGGATCCTTGCACGTCTCGCTCCGAAGACGGCCCACTCCTCGGCCCAAAGATCGGCCATCGGGGCAATACCGGTTCCTTTGCTCGCCGCTCGCCCTCGAGGCTGCCCCCTCGGCAGGAGCACAGGACGGCACCGGCGCCTGCCGCGTCGGCTGCCAGTCCAGAGAGGGGCGGCCTCGCTGGGAGACCCCCTGCCCCCCGGCAACCGCTGTCGACTCGTGCTCCCAGCTTCGAGCAGCCGACCGTGGAGGAACAGACAGCTGCGCCAGCATGCACGTTCGGAGGTCAGCGCGGCTGTCCGGGGTCGGCGCTGGACCTCCCTTCCCCGGGGCGGGCGAAGAGCGCAGCAGGGGCGGCGTCCAGCGACGAGCCAGGAAATCCGAAGGTGTATGTCTACGCATGTCTTCGTTCGAACCAACCATGTTCGCCATTCCGAGTTGTCACATGAGGGAATCGGGTCATGAGGGAAGCGGGTCCTGGACCCAGGGGCTTTCCTCCAGGGTCAGGTTCATATCTCGACCTGCTTCTTGACGCGAGCCCCGAAATTGTGAAACCAATTGACAAGGGCCGTATCCTTCATGGCGACTGGTGTTGGTCATGAGGGAAGCGGGTCCTGGACCCAAGGGCCTTCCTCCAGGGTCAGGTTCACATCTCGACCTGCTTCTTGACGCGAGCCCCGAAATTGTGAAACCAATTGACAAGGGCCGTATCCTTCGTGGCGACCGGTGTTGGGCCACCGGAGTGAGCACAGAGTATGCCGCATGCGTCACGGCGGCAGGCGACCGTGACATGCTCGTGATTGTTCGGGGTCGGCCAAGAGGGGGGCGTCCAAGAGGGGGGGGCGCAAGTCATGGCTGGCGGCGTGTGCGCGCCCCGGGGGGGGGGGGGGCCAGGGAACGCATTGAAACAAGAAGAGGCGCCGTGAAATCCGGGGAGATATCATGATATCCACCCCCCCTAGTCATTACCCCCCTCTTGGCCGCCCCCGACTTTTGTTGCTTCTGCAACTGTTGCGACGCCGTTACCGTCGCTCGAGCGGGGCCGCTGGTTCTCTCCAGATGCCTGCGCAGCCGGGCAAAGACGACCTCCTCGCTGGAATCTCGCAGCAGCGAGTAGTGGAAATTCGCTGGCCCAACGGGCCAGAGGCGTGATCAAACCTCCATCCCTGGGGCATTGACAGGCGCTCCTTTTAGTAAAACGTGGTTTCGTGAAAACGACTTCGCGCCCAAAGTTGGCGGGCGCAAAGTCCGCGATGGAATAGTCTGGGGCGGCGGAATAAGCGAAGCGATTCAATAACTGTGGCCCTGCGTGGTATTCTTGTCAGAACACCAAAACACTGCACGAACATACGCTTTCGGATATCCGCTCGGATTCTTCGCGTCGGCGCTGGACCCCCCCTTCCCTGCCGCGTTCCCCGCGCCAGGGTCTGCGCCAGCGAGGCCGCCTGGGGGCGGCAAGCGCCCACCGAAGGAATCCGCGCGGACCTCTGAAAGGTTGTGTGTATGCAGGTTGTTGGTTTTTCGAACGGCTGACCAGCTTGCTCTTCCTCCTCGCACTCCTCGGGTTCGGGTCCGAGTCGGCCTCGCTGTCTGGCACGAGCACTAGGTCAGCGTTACCACCACGCCTCTGCACGGCCTCGACTATTGCAGCCATGTCTTTGAATGAACAGATCGAATCCGTCGGCGAGTGGACGGCCAGCAGAAATGGCACAGCGGCAAGCCGCGCGACATGCGTCTCCAGAAACGTGTGAAACATCCTCGAGCTCTCTGGCTGAGGCGCCATGAAATTCGAATCTGGGGACTCCAGTGTTCCCAGCCCGTACCCCGCGATCGTCAAAACCACGTCGAAGGCGCCTGGGTCGTGGCTGCCCAGCTGGAGCGCCCCAAAGCCGCCCATGCTGTAGCCACACACGAGTGTGTGCGAGGCCTGTGTCTCCACGGCGAGCCGATTCACAGTTCCAGAGAGTGCGTTCAGGAACTCCTCATGCCACTCTCCGAAGACGTAGCCCATGCCTCTCTTGTTCTGCGCCTTGGTGTGGCTGATGCCCCAGTCGAAGCGCCTGCCGTTGGCCGCCTTCGGGTTCAGAGGCGCCAGAAAAAACACTCGGTGGCCGAGTCTCTTATGAATGCTGCGCAACTTATCCTCTGCAATGTCGCCCATGCTTGCGCCGTGCAACCACACGAACAAGTACGGTGTGTCCTCCTCCTGGCCCGGCGCGCAGGCCTCGTACACGGTGTAGGAACTGTCGCCGAAGTCCTGCCCCTGCAGCCTGCCAGCGAGCACCCTTCGGATGCCGCTCTCCCGCCAGGCGTGCTGCGGGAAGCTGGCCGCGGCCGGCACGCCGGCGGCGCCCGCGCGGAGACGCGGAGCAGACAGCGGCGCGCGGGCAGAAACTGTGGGAGGTCCGCGCGGAGTTCCTGGGTCGGTCGGCGCGGGGAAGGCCGCGCCGGATGAACCAGACGGGGTTGGGTGGAGGGGGGGGGGCACGCCGCCGAGGCAGGAAATCCGCGCGGGCGTCCGAGAGTTTACGCGCGTGCATGCTTTTGGGAGGCAGCTCCCGCGGAGCTCTCGTCGGGACGACGTGGCCAATCCGGGGGGCTTCGGATGGCACTCTGCGGCTCCCGGAGAAAAGGCAGCTTCACGGCCACTGGTGGCCGCTGGCGGCGTCTAGCGGCCACCAGTGGCATGGGCAACCGGTGGCAAACGTACGGCTTGTAGCAGCAATTCGTGGCGACTGGTGGCCCGTTAATGGCAACTAGTGGCAACTAGTGGCTTGTTAGCGGCAATTGACGGTAATCCCACCAGCCCTCTGGGCGTCGGTGGTTTAGGGAGTTTCCTCTTCCACCCCTCCTTCTTCCCCTTCGGGGAGGGGTTTATCACTGTTCCCTATTAATAAGCACCCCCTCCCCCAGGCGACTGGGGGCCAACCAGGGTCCATGACAACCCCCCCCACCATTCCCTGTACAAAAAACAATGCAAACCACACTCTGCCTCCAAATTTGGCACATGCGCAGCCAAACCGATGCGGCCCCCCCCCACATCATCCCTGTCAAAAAACACTACATAGTACACTTGGCACTTGGCGGCGGCGGCGGCGGCGGCTGCGGCGGCTGCGGCGGCGGCGGCTGCGGCGGCTGCGGCGGCGGCGGCGGCGGCGGCGGCAGGCGGCGGCGGCGGGCAGCAGCTGCAGCGGCGGCGGCGGCGGCGGCGGCGGACTGGCCCCCAGTAGCTGCCCATCCAAAGACGACTGCTGAATATGCTCTGGCTCGGGCCAGACCCGGGTGCTACGTATGTGTTGGGAGGGCGGGTGGGAGTGAGCGAGACGGCTTGCGGGCGGGGAGGGAGTCTTGACCCCTCCCCTTACCCCCTCCCCATGGACCTGGACAGGGGGTGTCGCGAGTCGTCGGGGCGTCCAAGACGGCCTCTGCGAGGAAGTCGCAATCATTGGTTTTACGAAGGTTTTGGCTCCATTTTGGCGTCCTGGGGGGGGACCCTAATTGAAGCTCCCCTCTTGTTTGATCGATCTCCTCCAAGATGGCCCCAAGAAGCGCCCAGGAGGCCCCAGGAGGTCCCAAGATGGCCCCCAAATGGCCCCAAGAGGCACCCAAGAGGCCCCCAGGAGGACCCCCGAGAGGCCCCAAGAGACCCCCCAGAGGCACCCAAGATGCTCCAAGAGGCCTCGGCGAGAATGCAACATTATTGATTTTACTGAGGTGTTAGCCACATGTTGGCCTCTTGGGGGGGGCACTGATTAAGATGACTCCGAGAGCGCCTGGGGGAGCCCGAAATGACCTCCAAGATGGCTCAAGACATCCCAAGATGTCTCATAATGGCTTCCTCTGCGTGCATCGTTTCTGGATGGTTTTTTTGTTCAGCGGCCCGCAAGGAAAAGTCCAGAGGGCGTGTCGATCAGGCAAACTGGGGCACAGAACCAGATAATTGGTGCACATGCAGGACAAATTGGATGGAAGAGCAGACGGGCCGCGCGTGGCATCAGAGAGCCGTGCGGCGCGGGAAGGGGCTACAGAAGACGGAAGGAGGAAAAATGGGGGGGCCTCACTCACGGAGCACCGCGTGCTCGAAGGCAAAACTCCACTGACTCAGAAGACGGCAGACATGGCGTGAATCCCACGTGGCAACTGTCACCCAGCTGGTGGGGATTCGCGAAGCGTCAACAATTAGCGGCATTAGTGGCCTTAGCTGCAACTGGGGCCCGCGAGTGGGATAGGCGGCCCCCACGGAGCCGCAAAAGCGCGTGGCATGCAGCCTATCGGGGGCTGCGGGGAAACTGGATGGGAATGCGTACGCAATGGAGCAGCGACGCCAGTTGCCAAGAAGTGCCGCTGTACTTCGACGAAAAACCATTGGAACGGCTTTTGCAATTCCCTGAATTGGGGCCATGGAGCTGGACTAGGCCGCACGAATCCTGGGATAAGCCGGATTCAGCGGGACCCACCCGCACTCAGCGGAACCCGATTTGGCCAGACTTCGAAGCGCCGATTCTAGGGGAGCGAATAAAGACATGAACATGGAAACTCGGTCCGCGCCAATTTCTCGGATCCGCGCTGGACCCCCCTCCTTGGCGCGCGGAGCGCGCCAGGGGCTGCGACGGAGGCGCCGCCAGGGGGGCCCAGCGCGGATCCGAGAAATCCGCGCGGACCTCCGAGCATTTCTGTTCATGTTATTCTTCGCTCCCCTAGATTCGCAGGAGAGCCCAGAATCGAATCGATAAGTCGAATCGGCGATAGAGATTAAGCGGATCGGCGGAAATCGGCAGCCAAGTCGGGAGAAGTCGAATCGGCAGAAATCGGCAGAGTAGTAAGGCCTCATTGAGAAATCGGAACCCAACTCGGAGTCCGAAGTCCACTCGACTCGGAACTGGAACCCATCGACACCGAATCGCATGGCGAATGGCGAATGGGAGGAATCGCAGCGAGCCCTGCACTGTGAGTGGAACCTCCCAGGAGTTGCACCCTCGATGCCCGCGGCTCCGCGAAGCAGACCGCTGCGCGCTCCGAGGGCGGCGTCGCGCCGCGCGGGCGCCCGCGCGGGCGCGCCCCCCGCCCCCCTCGCGGGCTGCGCGAGCAGCCGCTCGGGGTGCGCGTGCGCCCTCGCCTCGAACTGCGCCCGCGTCATGTCGGCGAAGACCGCTTCCACCTCTTCTCGGCGAGGAGGGGGAGCATCGAGGAGGGGAGGATCAAGGAGGAGGGGAGGGTCGAGGAGGATCGAGGAGGAGGAGGAGGAGGAGGAGGAGGAGGAGGAAGACGAGGCGGAGGAGGATAGGCGGCGAGCCCAGGGGGGAAGCGAGAGTGGGCGGGTCCTCTCGGAAGGCTCGGAAGGCCTCTGGCCTTCCGAGAAGACAACGGAGCCTTCTCCGAAGACCGATACGGCTCCTCGGAACGCTGGGAGGGTTCTGAGGAGCCCCGCCGCCTTCTGAGCAGGCCTGCCCCCCTTTCACCTCCCTCCTGGGCGCGCCGCAGATGCTGGCCACGAATCGAGCATGCCTTTCAGAAAACACATGTACTCGGAATCTGCCGGCGTCTGCGGGGCCGCGGGGGCCATCCAAGGGCCCTGGAGGTCCGTAGGAAACGAATCCGGATGGAAGAGCTGGCCTTCAGGAAAGCCAGCGGGTCTACGACGCGTGTCCCTCAGGACCCCTGCCGCAGCCCAGACATCGGATGTCTCGATTTGCCAAATGGCCCTTCCGACCCCTTCCCCAGGGCCGGCGCTTCACCCCGAGTCGTTAGCTGACGGCTCAGGGACCCGAGCACGGCCCCCAGAGGCCGAGAACGGCGAAGAGCCTGCGCCCTGATCTTTCCAAGACTCTGCGTGGCGGCACCTCGCCGATGCGATCGGAGTTCTGGTCCCAGAACTTGGCGTACTGCACCAGGTGCTGCGCCAACGCAGAGGCTGGCATCCGCAGGCGCCGCAGGAGCAGGTCGCGCCAGCCAACGCCGCCATCGGCCACTCCCGGGAAGAACTTGAGAAGCCTGACTTCCTGGCGCCGTCGAAACAGTCACGGTGGAGCAGTGTCCGTTTTCAGCCCCTGGGGGCCCCCACTGGGCCCCAAGGCCGTCAGAAACTCTGGGGGTGGGGTGCATGCCTCCGGGGAGCAACGTCGTGCCCCCCCCCCAAAAAAAATTAGCCAGGCGAAAGACCCCACCATACGCAGTTGTGAGTAACGCAGTTGTGAATATCGTCTTCGGTGGAGCTGTCTATGGGGCCACAGAGCGTGTGAGGGATGTACCACGTGGTGGGCGCATGCCAACGCGTGTGAGCGGTGTGCCAAAATGGGTGCGGTGGTGACCAGTGGTGCCATGCGAACGCAGCCACTGGGTCCTTCGGTGGAGCTCCCTATGGGGCAACGACAAATGCAAGGAGTGTGCCGACACGGGTGCGGTAGTGCCATGCGAGCGCAGCCACCGGGGCCTTCAGTGGAGCTTCCTATGGGGCCACGAGTGCCCACATCGGTGCGGTGCCATGCGAGTGCAGCCGCGGGGGCCTTGGGTGTAGCAACCGATGGGGCCGCGAAAAGTGTGTGGGAGCCGAAATGGGCGCGGAGGTGCCATGCGAGCGCAGCCACTGAGGCCTTCGGTGGAGCTCCTTATGGGGCCACGAATAGTGTGAGGGTTGTGCCGAAATGGGCGCGGAGGTGCCATGCGAGCGCAGCCATTGGGGCCTTCAGTGGACCTCCCTATGCAGCCACTGGGGTTCGGTGTAGCTCCCCATGGGGCCATGAAACGTGCGAGGGGTGTGCCGACATGGGTGCGGTGGTGCCATGCGAGCGCAGCCACTGGGGCCTTCAGTGGAGCTCCCTATGGGGCCACGACGAATGCAAGGGGTGTGCCGACATGGGCACGGTGGTGCCATGCGAGGGCAGCCGCTGGGGTCTTCGGTGAAGCTCCCTCCGGGGCCGCGAGACGTGTGAGAGGAGGTGTGAAAAATGGCTGACTGCTGCGGAGGGCAGGTGGCAGGAATGGGCGGAGGGAGACGAGCCCAGAGGAAGGAGGCGGGAGAACGCGGGGTGCTGTCTCGCCACAAACGAGGGCCCAACACCACAGGATGGCTAGGGCAGACACGACGCCGGATGTCTGGGAAGGTAGCCATGCGCACGGAGGGCGGCAACGCTCGGCACCTCGCCCGCCAGGGCATCCTGCCGCCAGCTCTCGTATGCCGCCTCCACGTCGAAGGCACCCCAGCTGCCCACGCTCGGCTGCCAGCTCTCGACGTGTAGGTCGCGGCGACGGAAAGTGCCCCGCCAGTCTTCGGGCACGCGCCCGTCATCGGCGGCTCCTGTGCCCAACGCCACTCCTCCGGCCTCGCCGCGCCTATCTTTCAGCAGCTTCCTGAGGATCCGAACTTCCCCCACCATCCACCACCCCGTCCCGCAGGGGGCCGCTGCGCGGCGACTCTCGGTTGCGTGATGGTCACTGAGGATCGGTCCGAGGCTGGCATCTGTATGTGAAATCCCTCTTCTTTCGGACACCCTGGGTCCCCACGGTGACAGATCTACAAATTCAAGCAATGAGAATGGACGGCTGCACGTGCGTCCGCACGGCTTGGAGCGCTCAACTAGAAAAACGTGAAGCGAAAAAAACGACATCGTCAAAGGCGACCATCTCCGCAGCAAAATTCACATCCGAAACGCCGCGCGGTGCCTCTCGGCCTTAAAGAGCCTTGGAAACGACAGGGCCGTTTTTTTACCGGTTCCGTTTTGCCGTTTTATTGTCAGTTCCGACGCCATGTTTTACCGGTTCTGTCGCCGTTCTTTTACGAGTTCCCGCTCCGGTTCCAATCCTGGAGTCGTTTTTGTTACCGTTTCCGGTCGCCGGTTTTTTGCCGCTTCCATTTTCAAGGGACACTTTTTTGGAAACGGTGAAAAAACGGCCCTGCCGTTTCCGGGGCCCACTAAGCTCTCGGCCACGCTGGAAGTGAATTGCCGGCGCGCGCACTGGGGGCGGCCCTCTGAGAGGGCGGGGCGTGGGGCAGGGCTGCTAAGACGGCAGGGGCGGTCAGAGACGAGAAGAGCCTGGAGGCTTCTGGGAAGCCTTCTCGGCCCATGCTGGGCTCTTCTACCTACCAGACCATTCCAACCTAAACCCGAAGACCCCAAGTTCGGATTGCGGGGGGTACGGGTTCCACCGTGTTTTTTCAATGTTCCCCGACCTCCCCCCCTGGGAACGGAGAGCAAATTGGGGCCTTCGGTTTGGGTTGGGGTGGTCTAGCCATCGCTCGGACGTCCACTCCCCGCGCATTCCCCAGCTTCGTGCGTGCTGTTGTTCGCAGCATGACCCCACGTGCTCCTCGGTGGTCCCTGCCGAGACACAGTGCACACTCACGAGCGATGCCGAGCGGTTTGGTGGGAGGCGAGCCCCCCCTGCGCGGGCCGCCGAGGCGAGGGCGGCCGTCGGGGCCGTCCGGGCGTCCTGCTGAGGATGACGGCGTCGCACTCCCCGCCCGAGAAGCAGAGCCGCCCCAGCATTAAGTCGGGCGTGTCCCCCATACAGGGGGATTTTGGACGAACGACTAAAAATACCCCCAACATGCTCAAACAATTGCAAAACAATAATCAAAAACTGGCCCCCACGATGTTTTAAGCATTTTTTAATATCCCCCTGTAGAGGGACAGGCCCGACTTAACTCCAGCACCATCACGGCGTTGCTGTACGCACTTGCGCCGCCAGGGCCCGCCGAGGCGGCGGCCTGCGCGGCTGCCTCGCGCGGCCGCGCCCGGACGGCGCGCCGCGCGCCGAGGGCCCGCCGCGCTCGGCGCCCCCGCGCGAGGTCGAGGCACGCGCCGAGCGCACCCGCGAGAGCGGCGGGCCGCGCGCAGGGCTGTCCGAGCGCGGCAAGCCGCCCGCCCGCGCGGGCGCGGGCAGCGGGGCGCGGCCGGGGCGAGCATCTGCCGCCGCCCGCCTCCTGCCGATGCGGAGCGGCCGGCCGCGGCGGCGTCCCGGGCGCCGTGGCGTCCATGAGGCGGCGGCCGCCGCGTCCCGCGCGAGGCGCGCGGGCCCGCCTGCCGTGGCGCCCGCCTCTCGGCCTGCGCTGTTGGCGGCTCGGCAGGGTGGGGGCCGCCCAGATAGGGCTACAGGGCAGACGAGGTCGGGGCATCGCGACGGGTCGCCGATGCATCGGCGACGCCAGGGTCGGCAATGCACCACCTGCGCGGCGCGTTGCTCCGACCCTATCTTCTCGGGCCCCACCTGAGAGGCCTGGGCCAGGGAGGGGGGTGGGGGCGCTCGAGCCGGGCGGCTAGCAAGCCTGGGCACTGTCTCGGCATCGCAGAAACTCATGGGATTCCTCGAGCTCATTTTCCTTATCCTCCTCCTCCTCCTCCTCCTCCTCCTCCTCCTCCTCCTCCTCCTCTTCCTCCTCTTCCTCCTTCTCCTTCTCCTCCTCCTCCTCCTTGTCCTCGTTCTCGTTCTCCTCCTCCTCCTCCTCCCCTCCTCGTTGTCCTCCTCCTCTCCTACTCTTCGCCCTTCCTCTCCTCCTCCTCCTCCTCCTCTCTCCTCGTTGTCCTCCTCCTCCTACTCTTCGCCCCTTCCTCCTCCTGTCCTCCTCCTCCTCCTCCTCCTCCTCCTTCTCCTCCTCCTCCTCCTCTGCGCCGCTGCCGCTGGGAATCGGAGCGGGAGGCAGGACCGAAGGCGGGATACTGTCGGCGGCGCGATCCACTGGGGTAGAGCAGCCTTCTCGGAAGGCGGTGGGAATTCTCGGACACCCTCGCGCCTTCTGAGAAACCGTTTGTGGCCTCGGAGAAAACACTGAAGGCTGCTTGGAGGAGGAAGAGGACGAGGAGCAGGAGGAGGAGGAGGAGGAGGAAGAGGAGGAGGAGGAGGAGGAGGAGCAGGAGGAGGAGAAGGATGAGTAGGGGGAGGAAGAGGAGGAACGTAAGGAGGACGAGGAGGAGGAGGAGGAGGAGGAGGAGGAGGAGGAGGAGGAGGAGGAGGAAGAGGAGGAGGAGGAGGAGGGGGGGAGGAGAAGGAGGAGAAGGAGGAGGAGGAGGAGGAGGAGGCGGGAGAGTTCCCGAGAAGCCCCGCCGCCTTTTGAGAACGCTGGCGCCCACCAGCGTGCCCTTGGCCAGGGGCCCTCGGCCGAGTTCGCCGGCGATGCATCGACGATGCACCAGCACCGTTGGCGATGCATCGGCGACGCCCGTGGAGAAAATGGGGCTCCACATCGAGCCGCATCGCCGATGCATCGGCGATGCGGCGTGATCCTCCGACCCCTACTAAGACCTCCTTGGGAAGCCCATACATGAAGAAGTGGAAACAACGTGACCAATGATAATCACACTCGACCGCTTCTTCGAGGCCGGCCGCTCATCCCGAGGCGTCCGCTGACGGCCAAAAAACACCAGCAAGCGGCCCCCGCACGCCGAGGACGGCGAAGAACCACTCCGCCCCGATGTTTGAGCACGGCGGATGCTTGGAACCCGGGGCCTCCCACCTCTCCTGGGGCACGTGCTTGCCACAATTCCAAGCGGCTCCAGCCGTGGGGACAGACAGACCGACAGACAGACCGACAGTCAGACAGACAGACGCTCGGCCTCCCACGTTGCCGGGCGCCCCCCAGCCACGCCTCGAGGGCGCGCCCCAGCCGCGTCTGGGGAACGAGGGGCATGACGTGGAGAAGAGTTGGCGCGCCGCCGAGCGCCCAGGGGGCGGCGCTCTAGAAGCTCGGCTTGGGCGCCAGAGCGCCGAAACTCAGATGTCGTAGTACATGGTTGCTTTACGATGTCGAGTGTATGCTATTGGCTCCACTGATACAATTATTCCCATGAGTTGCCGCGTTATGCAGCGTTATAAACATGAGCGCCCTTCCCTAATACAATCCTGAACCTGCAGCGTCATAAAAGCAAGGGCCAATCTGCCGTGGGGACGAGGAGGTCAATAAGATATCATAGTAGCCCTCATGACTTAAAACGAGGACCCTCTGGCCCCGCATCCTCCCTGCCGCCAGGCCCTCTCCAGCCTTCTCCTCCGACATTGCAAACACTCTCCGATGACACGGGTCCCTGAGGCTTCGCGCTCTTCCCAAGGGCCTGCTTCCCGGCCAGAGCAACTAGCTGGTGGTCCCCGGGCTGGGAAGCGGCCTCCGAAGCAGCACGCGACAAGGCCGCCCAGCGTGTTGCAAGACATCGGACACCTGGGCCCGGGACTCGCACGTCGCTCCCCAGACCTCGCCTGGGGTGCGTTCTGGCCTGAAGCGCGAGGCGGATCCAATCGAGCCCGCCATCACCAGTCGAGCCACTCGGCGGATCCAGTCGAGCCCGCCCTGGCCTGAAGCTCGAGCGGATCCAATCGTCGGATCCAATCGAGCTCGCCCTCACGGCTGGAAAGAGGTCCGGACTGCGCACCCAGCCAGTCCTGGCATGTGCGCGGGCGAGGGGGTCGGGGCGCGCAGTGAGAGGCAAAGCAGCAAGACAGGGGGCACGATCTCCGGGAGACTTCGTGGTCCCGACCTCGTCCTCACTCTCCGCTTCGACGCCCCCTCCTCGCCCTCCACACCCTCTTGCCCCACGCCCCTCCCGCAAGAGCAGGAGCAGAAAATACACCCCCACGATAAGCACCAAGGGAAGCGAAGGCGTTTAGTAAACGCACTTAAGGAAGGAATCGAACAGGGCAGGGCTGTTCAGTAAAAGCCCAGGGACGTTCAGTAGAGGCCAATTGTCTGGGGTCTGGGTGCCTGTTCCTTCCTTCGTCCCTCCCCCTCTCCACATGTCCTTACTCAATATGGCAACGACTCTCCTCTCTCACCCGGCTGCGTCCTGGAAATGTCCCACCCTCTCCGCGTAGGGATGCTCTTCACGCAGGGTTTCAACATCTCGTGTTGCAGATACATGTTTCCCACTCGGAGCGTGGTCGATGTTTCAAAATTGGAATTCCCACTGCAGCGTTGGTCTCATGTCAGGATAGATGAACCCCTTCCGTCGTTCAGAATGGCGCCCTCGCCCCAGCGCGGGCCACATTTACTGTTCCGGTTGCTTCCTCATCGTTGTCGCCCCCTTCCGTTCCCCTCCCCGCCTTCCCCTGGTCCTCCTTCGCATCCTGCTCCTCCTGCTACTATCCGGGTTATTGGCACTGCTCCTCCTCGTCCTCCTCCGTCCTCATCCTTCTCATCTTCCTCATGCTCATCCCCCTGCTCGTCCGCCACCTCCTCCTACAATTCGCTTTTTTTCTGATTGCGCGTAACACAATGGGGTCCTCTGTGGAGTTTCAGATCGCCTATGACACGCGTCGGCGCATAAAGTGAAATCATCGCAATGGGAATTGATAGGAAGGATA